TCTAACGTTTTCATAAGAAGAATTTTTCACCGGCAGACTCTCCAACAATTTTTCCGCTACTGATATTATGCCTCTTCTTGAAACGCTCTTCCCAACTGTTAGAACAAGCAAACTCTTTGTTTTTGATATTACTCACCATTTCACTAGCATTTTCTTGCAAAACACTGCCACTTACGGGAACGTTTTCTTGTCTTTTTGAGTAAACCACTTAATAAGTTCTTTGTCAACCTTTTCATGTGCAGATAATTTTAACTTCCTACATCTAACACTTGTTTTGTCATACGCTGATAAAATGTTTTCTCTGTTTTTCCATATTGTTGCAACAGTAGACTTTCCAAGTGCTAATTCCTTACAAATGTCACTCTGTTTTACTCTACTTTTTATTTTGTTAATAATATCGTACTTTTCATTTAGTGAAAAAGCTTTGCGTTTTTGTTTTTCCATTCTAAAACGATTTACATACATAACGTGGCAAAAAACAACAAGTCACTGCCTGTCGCTCGCTCTCACTAATATAAGCAACTCCGCAGGATTGGTGTTGCTGAGCGTAGAAGTTCGTTATAAACGGAAAGTGAATATACAACTATCCTAAAAAGTGATCGTTATATCCGGAAGTTTGTTATAAACGGGTTCGTTATAACCAGTAAAAAAATACGTTGGTATTTACGGACGACGTTTCAATTAAAGGAAAAAAGTTCGTTTTAACCGAAAGTTCACTATAACCATGTTCATTATAAGCGGACTTTACTGTATTTTATTTGCCACCCTATAGACACCTGATCCAACGGACCATTTTTTTTGCAAACACGCACTAATGGAAAAAGAACTCCATTAAATAACGCTTCAAACAGAAGTAAATTCGCCCGCTCAATCAGAATCTATCCACTTCCAAAATGAGTCGAAATTCGTCTGTGTAACGCCAATTTTGTTGAGCAGTTGAGTTGATAGTTTGAGCTCGATTGGCAATTTACCACTACGTAACGGGCCGCAAATTAAATCAGCAATAAATAATCGATTTGCGACTTGTTTTGCAAGATATTAATTTTTCCCCGATTTGCTCCTTGAACCACGACTATTAGCCGGTTTTTACGGTCCAAGGAAAACGGTTCATGCTAAGTGGATTGTTGATTGAAAGATCGCATTTTCGCCAAATCTTCCATCAAAACTTTCCGCTTGAACTGTAGGCCAAAAAGGTTTAAAGCCCAGAAAAACAACCGTTTTTAAGGGAAGATTCAGCCTAATAATAAATAAAATTTAATAAAATTTAATAAAATGTACCTATATTAAATGCATATTAACGACAATTAGATATATCACCTAATTGGCGTCAATCGTCCGTCTCGATATAAGGAAGTATCTGAATTCATCAAACGTTATGTGCATTAGTTGGGTTCTTGCGGGTAGTAAACGGATCCCGGCGCTCATAATGCGGTCCTCGAGGTTCGATTGGTTCCATTCGTGTGTGCCGGTTCCATTCCGGAGGGAGCACAAAGAGTGCCTCTTTTGTGGACTGTTGCTCTGCTGCATGGATGAGGCTGAGCATTGTTTCCAGCAGGCGGAGTACGATCAAGTCGGAGGCAGGAACCAAGTGAGGAAGAGCAGGAAAAAGGCCGACGATGCTTATGCGTTAGTGGAGGATAACAACAACTACCTGGGTATGCCTTGGGTGCCTGTTTTCCATTTCGGCTGGTTTGGGTTGACGCCCTTCATCCACATTGCGTCTTCAAGAAGATTTGTTTTGACTGTGCAGGTTTTTGAACTTTAAACAGTGGCATCTTCGATGGCCACTGTTTAAACCATTCAGCGTCCGAAGTTCAAGGATTAATCGATAACAATAAGCAATAAATAACATTCGTTCGTGGCAAAAGATCAATGGCCATTCCATTTAGGCCGCGTCTGGAACCCACTAGTTTCTCGTTGCCAATCAGCCACCCTGTACACTAATGAGTGTTTTAATGAATTATTTAGAATCAATTAAAGGTTTGGCGGTATCATTTCATCAATGTTCCAACGTAATGAGTTCATATTCCAATCAAATTAATTAATAGAGCAGGAAGCAGGTGCATGCTGATAGTTCAATTAGCTTTGATGGTTCGCTGGGTCCCCAAAGAATCGCCTTGCCCTTATGTGCGTTTGTTTCAGAACGTGCCCTAGAAATAGAGGAATTTGGGGCGATTGCATCGAGCCTGGCGAATCGGCATCTGAGCAAATCGGCCTCAGAACTGAGCAGCCCCAGGGAGATGCCTGAGGCGCGGCCACGCTCTGCGGCCCCGCCCGAACATTCTCATATTAGCGTCTACCAGAAAGCGCATACTTTCTTTGCTCAATTAAAGGTAAGATTTTTTAATATAAAATATGCAAAATGGACATTGTGCATAGAACAGCGGTTTTAAGGGATTTTAAAATGTCTGTTGAAAATGGCCATAAAATACAGGGTCATTCATATGAACCACGCCTATGTTTAGTGTCATTTAGCGGGGTGTGGCCACAGAACATCCCCCATCCATCAGGGGATGTTCTGTGCGCGTGACGGATAAATGGTTGATTCTGTCACAGTGCGACAGAAACTTAAAAATTTTTTTTGGTCGTTTTTACTCAATACTCGTGAATATTGTGCGGTTTCTCAAAGTGCGCGACCTACCAGTCATTTTTGTGCTAATTTGAAGTCGGTAAACGTGTTGTAGGCCGCATTAAGTGATTCGAAAAGTTCGACAATTTCACTGACAATTGGAGGTTATGCGCTTCTCTTTATTACCCGGTCTTAATGGGCGTTTCTCACGATTATGGCCGTTCTAAAGAATTAATTTAAACGTATTTGAACCTATAAAACAATAGGAAGAGTTCGTTTTTTTTGAATGGGCGCATTTGCATGGAAAATGAGTCCAAGGATGATTTTTCTGGAGAAACGTTGAGCGCTAAAGTGTGTGGAATCGGCGCAAAATAGTGCGCGATCCAGTTTCAGTTGCTTCAACGGCCATCTCTGTTCCAGACGCGTTTAGGACACAGCAAACGCGAGCGAAGACACAAATCGCCCGGTCGGCAAGAGTCCTCAGACTACGCTGCTGATCTTTCAAGCGAGCACAGCACTCCAAGTACCGCTAGTCCAAGACATCGAGCCTGCAATCGAACTGGTAAGCGATTTTTTCCCACAAAGTTTGTCAAGAACAGTCCACATTTTCATTTCTATTTAACTGAGCAAAGAACTGACTCATATGATACCAGATGGTCAAAAAGTGCGCGATTTGCTCTGGATTTTCCACCTCTGAGAGAGATCGGATCCTGCAGAGAAACTCCGCGTTTTTTCATCGCTCTGTATATTACGCAAACATAAGTAATCTTAACAAGGAAGTGTTAATGTTTGGGTGTTTTTAGCGAACTACAAGCGATGGATATTTAGCAGAAAAGGCGAGTTTTAGTCGCTTGTCTCGTTTTCAATCACAGCATTTAGTTGAAACTGAACTGCCTTATACTATTCTAGGCTGAAAACCATAGTTTTTTACATACTTTTATTCTAGGCAAATAGGTTTTTTTAGCAGCAACCATAATATACAGGGTGGACCATTAGTATAATGTAGTAGTGTTTTCGTCATATTCCGATCTACATTTGCAAATATTCAAAAATTAAGATCATTCTTGCGTGTGCTATTCAGGTAAACAAATTTGATGCCGCTGGTGCTTTAATGAGACACCCTGTATACTTGGAAACATCTGCAGCAAATGCAGATGGTAAAATGAAGGAAACACGGTATTTTCATTTTTTGCCTACCGCTAGCCATTTAGACGCTATGGTGTTCGGAACAGGGGCGGATCCAGCTTCAAATTCAGGGGGGGGGGG